TTTACTGTAAGGAAGAGTTTTCCCTTCTCATTCATTCATTCATTCATTCAGTAATACCTCTATAAAAACGTGATTTCTCCTATTTTTCTTTAGGCTGTATTACTAATATCATTGCAATAAAATATTAACATATCAATACTATTAATATCTTTAATTTTGATGCTCAAATTTTCTCAGATTTGGCCAGTGGGAACCATTAAAGGTGGCTTTTTGTCCTTTTGATGTGGCCCTAGTATTCTTTAGGCTCTTGCTACTCCTTACACAGAAGAACAATTCAGATTCATCTTGTACTTTCTGTTCTCCAATATTGGAATCAACCTTTTTTTTTTTTTTCCCCCCTTTCTGGAGACACCCTTGTTCCTTTTAGTGGAGAATGCTATTTAGGAAACACATTTTGGGGATTGCCTGGGTGGCTCAGTCCGTTGTGTCTGCCTTCAGCTCAGGTCATGATCTCAGTGACCTGGGATGGAGCCCTGCATTGGGCTGCTTGCTCACCAGGGAGCCTGCTCCTCCCTCTTCCTGCCACTCCTCCTGCTTTTGTGCTCTCTCTTTCTCTTTCTCTCTGACAAATAAATAAATAAAATCTTCAAAAAAAAAAAAAGGAACCAAATACTCATTGTTACTGAGGGTCACTGCCTTAGGCCTTCTTGGGAGTCAGAACTGGGAGGTGTTTGTGCACATGCATATACACACTCACCTGTATCCAGTTTTATATTTATATAAATTAAAAACTTAATTCATAGTGATACTGCTAGCTCCAGAATACCAGAAGTTCATTGTAGCCTTCCACTTTTCTGTATTTGTAATGCTATTCTCTGACAGAAACAGTATGTTTATGTTTTTGCTCAAACTGTAATACATATTATAGTGCTTTCAGAATTATTAATCCATACCACAGTGATAAAAATACTAACTGGAGTTTAATATTTACCTCATTTTTATCTTTTTAAACAAAAAGATAGGAAGAGGGAGGGAGAGTCCTAAGCAGACTCTGCCCTGAGCATGCCGGCCAAGGCGGGGCTAGGTCTCTTGACCCTGAGATCATGACCTTAGCTAAAACCCAAGAGTCAGAGGCTTAACCCACAGTGCTACCCAGTCACCCTCCTTCGTTTTTATCTTAAGACAGAGGGCTTGTCATAATCCTGTGTTCAAAAATTACTCGGGTTAGTCTTTTTCCCCACTTCAGTGTGGCTATTATTACTTTTTAAAAATAAAATTAGCTTAATTTGTTTCTGTTGTATTCTATTTTGCTTTATATGCATCCTGCCTCTTTTGAAGTTTTATTTACTTTTGAGTACACAGTTTTGTGTTACATACATTTACAGTTAAATGATACAGAAATTGTTACTTGAATTTACTATTGAACTGCTCTTGCTATGTCATTTTTAGCCAAAACCTATTGATGTACAAGTCATTACACACCACATGCAGCGATATGCAGTTTGGTTTGGAGGATCCATGCTGGCTTCCACGGTGAGATAAAGCTTCTATTTCAAATTTGATTTTTTTTTCCCAGAGAGAAGAAATTGCCAGTATATATGCAGTGTAGAATAACAAGGGAAATTTCTTTAAATTTATCTGCATGAGAAAGTTTTAAAATTAGAAACGTCTGTATGTACATAGTATTTTAAAATGTAGGTATTTGGATTTTAGTTTTTGCTTGCTTAGACAGTTTTTTAGAGTGAACACTTAAGAGTTTTAAAATTAATCTGTAGGTAAAGTTCTTTTAATCTTGTGATGATACAGATATCAGAAGGTCATTGCTTTTTCTGTGCAAATATTTAAAAACATCAAGATCACTGCATAGGAAGTATGATGTTCAAAAGTTAGTAAAGGGAATTATTCTAAGAGCCATTTCCCCAAAACAAAACATCTTAAAACCTCTTTAAAAGATAATTTAACATCATTTGCCTATTAAATATCAGTGCTTTATCTTGTAGTACAGAGTATTAAATAAGATAAAGAAATTTTATCTGAATTATTGAAAATTACATAAACTTGGATTTTTAAAACCATTGAAAAATAAGAGGTAGTTACTTTCTTCCTTATTTTAGTTATCTTCCATTTGTCCCATATAACCTGATGAGTTTGTAAGTTTGCCCTTTGAAGAAGTTAAGGGAGAGAGAGCCTCTATCTATATCAGACCTTTATTGAGGAAACAATCTAGAATTTTTTGTATATGACTAAGAGGAGTTTATATTTTACTTTACTTTAAAAATTGTATCTATTTTAGAGAGTGAGAGAGAGTGACAGTGCGAGTGGGGAAGCAGAGGGAGAGAGAGAGAGAATCTGAAGCAGACTCCTCATTGCTCAGCATGGAGCCCAATGTAGGCTTGATCCCATGGCCTTGAGATCATTGACCTGAGCCTAAAGAGTCAGACACTTAACCAACTGCACCTCTTAGGTGCCCCTTATTTATATTTTAAATTAATGCTGCTTTTTTAGAATACTGATTTATTGTACAGTGTGGGGAAATCTCATCAGAATAGTTTGAGCTTTTGAGAATCAGTCTTCCAGTCCTCAGAATGTCAGAATCGTGTTGAGGTAGGAGGATGTGTCTTAGGACATGTGTTAAATCCTGCTTTTCATTTCTGATAACTGTTTGTAGCTGATTTTTAAGTCACGGTTTCTAGAATTTTTAAGCTTCATTTAAATACCCAGATGGACTAATAGTAAACATTTTGTTCTATTTTAAAGCATTTTGAGAGTTGGTACACTTTTGACCTTTGTAAAAATACTTGTTTTTATTTTCAGCCTGAGTTCTACCAAGTATGCCACACCAAAAAGGATTATGAAGAAATTGGACCTAGCATTTGTCGTCACAATCCAGTGTTTGGAGTCATGTCGTAAAATTGATTTCATAATTATTGGGGCTAGGGAGGTGGGGAAGAAATAATCTTTCTGATTACCTGTTTTGTCTGGATGGCTGGTTTTGAGGTTTTAAACCTGACTTGAAGTAAGAAGACCAAACATAATTATACAGGAATATTTTAATAAGTGTATCAACATACGAATGTAGAGGAGAGCCAAAATGATTAAGTGTTTTTCTTTAGACTGAATATTTGAATCTTATGTGTAACAAAAAGAAGTGGGTTTTAGTTCTTTCTGTGCCCTGATATTTTGTATATTATTGAATTATCCAAGATTTGATGGGATTTATCGGTATGTAGATAGCTCTATAATGCTTGAGTTGTACACTTCTAAGTGTGCAATGCAAGAGCTTGTTTATATTTCATACTTTTTATACTTTGAGGAAAAAAGTCAAAGAAAAACTAGTATTTGAGGAGAAACAAGTGACCAAGTAAAGGATAAATTAAAAAAAAAAAAAAGCCTCCTGAGACTTGGCATACACACACACTCATGGGATTCCAGTTATTACAAATGGCTTCCACCCCCTTGTACCCCCCAATGGTTTTCTTTGCAAGTGCTTTTGGAACTAAGAAGCTAGTATCTTGGATTAACTGATGCCCGCTAGTGCTTTCTGACTACTCGAATCCTGTTTCTTGCTTTAAAGGAAAAGTAAAGAGAAGACTGTTGGACCAGTACTGCAGTTCTGTAGTGTCATTTCTTATTAAAAGTAAATTTGATTACCAAAATTGGTATATTTAAAGCCTAACACCATTCTAATAAAGGCACAAATTTCTTTTTAATACTTGTTTCAAGCTCTTTAATCTCTTTATAAGTTAACTAATCTATTTTCTTCAAACCTCTGCTATAATTCTTTAAAATCACAACAATTGGTTAGCAAGCTGACTTTTTTATGTGGTCTAAACAAATAATTGTGAACTTTTAATATGTTGAGTGCTTTCATTTTGATAACTGGATCTCCATTTGATATTTTCATTTGTATAACTCATTTGCAGTCTGAAAATTTTTTTAGTGCCAGTCCCTGACATATCATGGAAAGTTAATTTTCTTTGCATTTTAAAATATCTGGATCATGAAGAAAAAGTGATGAAAATAAATTAAAACTGAATTACCTTTTCTAAAGTTTTTTTTTTTTTTTTAGAAGCAGTGTCATTCTATTTTGTGTTTATGTATCTTATAGGATTTCTGTTTCTGTTGGAATAGTGGGATTCATTGAAATCGCTATAATGTGTATGGTAGAAAATATCTTGTGAACTTGAAATTTCACCAGTTATATTTATAGAAGAATAAAAATGGAAGATGTTTTTTAGGCCTTAATGCCAGTGCACACTTGAACTTCATTATCCGTGAAAACTCACAGAGAATTAGTATACGTCTATCTAAAAGTTAAAGAACAAGTAAAGGGTCTTTGTTATTTGTGTTTAATATAAAGATAGAATTGAGGAGTAAACTTTAGATTTTATTTAAAATGAAGCAGGGTACTTAAAATTATATTAATCATTTCTGTGAAACTTTGGGAGTAAAGAATAGAGTGTATGTCCTCTGGTAGTGATAGTGTCAGAATCAAAGATCTTATCCCCTCCCCCCACCACTTAAAAAAAGTAGTTCATGAACATGTAAAGAAAAAAACTATTCAAACAGTACCAAAGAGTAGATAGTGAAAGTAGTTTTCTTTTTCACCCTAGTTTGTCCTATTTTCTCATTTCAGTTAGAAATGTCTTTTGTGTTTTTATAATTCTGTGCATATAGAAAGAAGTATAGCTCCCTTATTTTAGCACGAATTGGAGTTTGCTGCATATACTGTTATTCATTCTGCTTTTCAAATCTTTTTTGATACAGAACTAAATGGATAAGGATTAAAGATTTCATCCTCCTGGTCCAATAAAGTATTATTAGCATTTTCTTAAATATGTCTTTTCCACCTAGTGTTATTGAATAGTGAGTAAGCTCAAAAGACATGTTTACAGAGCTACAGATTACAATCTCATGCATACTTATATAAAGATGTTAACTGATTCATTTAAAAATGAATCAAAAAATTTCCTTTAAACTTACATATATTTTAGGGAAACAAGAAGATTCAAACCTTTCCATATTTCTTGTTGGCCCTTTTGCTCTGCTTTTCTGCTGTAGTATGAGAAAAACAGTGCTCTTCTTTACATCTTCCCTATTACTGTATATCATTTCTCAATTTACAGCACCTATGGTTATATATGTGTAGATTCTGGCCAAGATGAATTCAGATCTGTAACACTGATTTGATGCCAGGCTGCATTAGTGTGGTACATTGGAAAAGAGACCAGTGACTGAAATTTTTATTCTGGTTCTACAAATTGATGCTAGAATTCCTTCAACTTTTATTTTTTGTTGTTATTATTAAAACATGGAAAATACAGTTGTATAATCCTCGACAAATTCTTTGAATTTTCTGGACCTTAATTCACTTTACATAGAAGGTGATATATGGATTAACAGTGCAGTTTTTGTGATTTGTTAGAATTGATTCATTTGTGATAGTAAAGGTGTTTTCTGATGTCTCCATTTTAATAGGCAGAGCTTTGATCAATTGGGAAATATTAATGGACAGAAATAAAGTAGATAATGGTTCTCTAGTTTGCCTACTCTTCAGTAAGCCAATTTTCACAACTTAATCTTTACCCATTAGTAAGTGGCATATACTGCAATTGATCACCTTCCTGTTTGCCTTCTTTTTTGGTAAAAAAGAACAATCCAGTATTGTTAAGGTCCACCAATATAATTTTTTGGTTTGTTTTCAAAGCTACTTGAACAAGTTGAAATAACTGTTCTTGCAGTTATTTGTAGAAATAGCTTCAGAAATAATACGAAGTATAGGGATAATAGGCTATTATATTGTTTATTTATTTTCTACAGAGAAGTCCTAGAGAATATATCTACAATATAGAAACTTTCTTCATTCAGATAACCATAAAGGTGGTACCAGGTAACATTGTTGATGAAATTATTTTTAGTGTCATATGGTATTTGTGCTGTTGTAAAGAGTTATTGTTCCTCTAAATACTGGACTAATTAGTCCATGATAAAGTCCACTGTATTTCTGCTTTTGTTACCAGCTCAGCTTTGACTCCTGTGACCCTCTACTCCCTTACCTTGTTCATATCACCATTCCTGGGTATCTCCGGTAGCCTGGTGCAGTCTCTGAAGCTGTTAGCACAATTCCCGACTGGGGTTAATGTCACTAGATATATTACCTAAAGTACACAGAAACCAGCATACTTAACAAACTCTCAGAGTGAAACCTCTACTTCTCTATGCCCTAGAGCATATTTCAGTGTAATAGCATGTAGCCTATACACTTGGCCATGGGCAGGTTTTTTTTGCTTTTTTTTTTTTTTTTTTTTTTAAAGATACAGTCTATTGTTTTTGACAGAGAGCAGGGGGAGGGGCAGAAGGAGAATCAGCTTCCCTGCTGAGCAGGACTCTGGGATCATGACCTGAGCCGAAGCAGATGCCTAATGGACTGAACCACCCAGGCGCCCTGGCCATGGGCAGATTTGTCAGCAAGAAGTTATGTGAAACTCTCATAGCAAAACCTAAAAATAAGTACTTTGTTTTTGTTATTAGGCCCATATCACATTTAAGCTGACCTTAAGAATTTTTAGATCTGTAGAAAGGTCTGGAGACTTGAGTGAAAAAGGATTTCTGCTATTCTTTGTTGATGAGTCCTCAATATTGTTCATTCCTCTTCCATAGTATTTATTTATCAGAATACTGGCACTTTATTGTAATGTGCTTGGTCTTAATAGAATCTTAACAGAAATAAATTAAAGTCTGTGGTTGTCTGTGGTATTCCCCATGCCATAACCCAGTTTAACTGATGCACTTGGAACTTGGAGCTGAATTAAATGAATTAAATAATACCTATTCAGTTTCAGAATTGTGTTAATCTTGCTCTAATGAATGCCGCAGCAGTAAAAAAAAAAAAAAAGGTACAAAAATACAAATGAGTGATTTAGTAAAAATGGCAACTGAAGGAAAAAACTGCGAAAATTAAAAATTAGAAAAAAATTACTCTTACTTTGATTTAACAAATGATCCTTACTGTTTTTCAGCATTCCATCACTTTTGGTGACTTTTATACATTACATTAAAATTAAGGTGCTGAGTTGAAATGGTTTCACATTTGTTCAAACACTACAACTCATTTATACCACCCATGTACTGCATCAGGGTTTGGGCTCCCAATCCGAAGAGACATTTCTTGACTGCATACTGTGTTTCAGGCACTGTGTCTCATTATGAATAAAACTTTCTGCTCTGAGCTCAGAGGTTAGTGTAGTGATAAATACACAGAGGAGTGAGATTTCAGAGATGTCTTAATAAGCCTGGGATTTTTCTTCATAAAGATGATGGTGGTTGTTTTGAGGGGAAAAAACTACGGTAAAAGTTAAATGTGTGGCTGCAGTTTAAAATTAGTCTTTTATGTGTTCTTAGCATTCTTAAAACAATCAGAAATATTAAATCCAACAATAGTTGAAGAAAGTAATTACACAGTAGAGATCATTCTTAATTCATTTGGTATTTCTAGTGCCTTACATATTACCTGGCACATAGTAATGGTTCAGTAAATGTGTTTGATAAATGAATGGATGAGTGAATATAAATCCATCCTTCATTTTGAAATTAAAACTTTGAATTGTGTATATAATTTTTGGTCCTTTAAAAGATAACCCATATTTATCAAGAAAGTAAAAATTACTATATTTTTCTGTTTCTCTAGATTTTATCTTAAAACAGTGATATTCTGTATAAAACAGTGGAGGATTATTAAGTGATCATAAATTTTCTGAAGTGAGTCTTCAGTAATTCTTCATCTAGTTTATGGTCATTTTTAAATCTTTGTAATATAATGTGCACTGTAAATCTGAGCATTGTACAGTGCTAACTGAAATGCTTTGAAATGTTTGGTACCATTCACTATCAGCAGTAGGAACTCTACTAATTTCTAGCTTTGCTTTTGTTGACCAGTTTTGATTCTCTCTTATCCAGATCCCATTTTGAGATATATTAGAGATGATGACTTAAATAAAAACTTTCTCCATTTTCTTTTCTTTTTTCTTTATTTGAGAGAGCATGAGAATGGGGAGGGGTAAAGGGTGAGGGAGAACAGGTTCCCCACTGAGTAGGGAAGAGATGCGGGCTCAATCCCCAGGATCCTGAAATCATGACCTTAACTGAAGGCATACACTTAACCAACTGAGCCACCCAGGTGCCCCCAAATTTCCTCCCATTTTCAATGAATGAGAATCATTGGTATAGTGGATTGTTCCTCTTTCTTGGAGGTCTTATTAGAAAGTTGATACTGGAATTGAGAGTACATCCTTTCTCTTACTAGGAATACATAGTATCTTTTACAAACAAATTAAAAATGTTCAGAGGGTTGTGCAATAAGAAAATATGAGACTCCTGTTTTGGTGCAATAATGCTTAATTGGGATCTCTTGTACATTTTTGGGATGACCAAAGTACTTTACAGAGCAGACTTTCCCAAGACATTGAACAGTGAGTAAGAATTTGGTAGATGGAAAGTAGGTAGGGAAGATATTTTAATACGGGAGAAGCAGCCTGAATAACAATTAGTGATTATGGTCTGCGTGTGTTGTGACTTTAGTATGCAAGTTGGAAATAGTGGTGGGTTGCAATGGGGATGTCTGCTGTCCTCACATATGGACTGAAAAAAGTGGATGTGGTTAAGATTGAGACCACTCATGCAAACAACTGACATCAGTAATGTGGAATTTTCAGAGTTTGGTCTAGTCCTAATCACATTTTACAGATGAGGGAAGACAACTGATACTGTAAGTGACTTGGCAAAGTCCATATTAGTAGTTAGGGGCAGAATAGGACTTATTCTTTTTATGTTTTATTTATATGGAATAGCATATGGTTTATTAAGTAGTTTTCTCAAAATTAGGCAGTGAGCCATTTAGTTGGGAGAGCTGATCTCATTGTTGTGGTAGATGCTGCTGATGCGAGGGAGCTATCAAATGACCTTAAATGTGTCTACCAAATCATGCATGATATCCACAGCTAGCACACTAAAGTGCTGAGCTAAGAGCAGGAGGCAAAAACTCAGTAAATCTGTTGGAGACTGAACTGAATGTTATGAGGAAATGATCTCTTTAAAAAAAGGAGAAAGAAAAAAAGAGCCCCGTCTTCATACAGAACAACATCTGAAACACTGAACTGTCGTGGTCTAGGCCAAGTAGTGTATTCGACCTCTTGCACATTTTGGTCGTGTCTCTCCAGATTAGCTAGACTAAGGTACCTAGAAGCAGATCTACTGAAAATTAAACTTGCCAGTGACATAACTGGATTTCTATTAATTAGAAAGTACCTGAATTGGTTTTAAAGACTGGGAAAGCATCTTTAGGCTACAGATAAAAGTGAACTTTGTGATAATGTTATGAAATACAATTCTTGGCATGTGGCAAGTGCTCAAATATTTGTTGAAAAAAGTTCTGGATTAAAAAAACACTTGTGAAAATGGTGTTTTTGATCCTCTTACTGTTTTGATAGTAATTAAGAATACTTATATAGGCAGGGTGATAATCTATTTTTAAAATAGGTCACATGTTTGGGGTACCTGGGTGGCTTAGTTGGTTGAGCGTCCAACTCTGATTTCAGCTTGGGTTATGAACTCAGGGTTGAGGGATTGAGCCCTGTGTCAGGCTCCACACTGAGCAGAGGAACCTGCTTGGGGTTCTCTTTCCCTCTCTTAAAATCACATTTGGCACAAATTAAAATTCTGTTTACATATCCATTTATAGCTGTCTTTTAAAAATTCATCCCTTTCAAGATGGTCCATTGAAAAAATGGTTCAATCCTTATATGAATGTATGTTTTAATAAGATCAGTAATCTGCTAATGAACTCATATTTGGATTACATTTGAATTGTATGTCTGTGGATTCACCTGCCTCTAACATTTCTCCCAAAAGAAATTGGGTTATTTGATCTGAACAGCACTAAATTTTTCTTCCTATATTTTCCTTCACCATTATAAAAGTTGCAACTTTATGAACATTATTTTTTAGGGCACTTGCAGCATGAACGGAAATGGTTTTAAGTACCCCCCACACCTCCTCCCAGGAGAGCGAAGTGACTTCTTAAACTCCCAGGTAGAAGAATTTTCATTCAGGCATTAGCATTCTAGTAGTAGTCTTGAAATTTTCACAAAGAAGATAATGATTTTTTTCAGAGACATTTAGCAAGAGAAGAATGGAAAGGCAGATGTGGCTTTTGAGTTTTGAATCTTTCAGTCCATCCACTAGATGTCTCTCTTTCCTCCCCTCATCTGTAAATGAGTATGTTCCAATTAAATTTGCTCCTGTCAAAAGCAAGTTGGATCTGAGTTACGGAAGTAGCACATTTCATGTTCCCGTTTAAATGCTGTTTCATGCCATTTTCAGCAACATACCCATGATTTCAATAAAAACAAAGATGTTCCTTAGGTTGTGATAGTAAGTCAGTGTAATTTATTTATTGAGCAGTATCAGTTTGGAACCTTTAATATGCTCAACACTTTTCAAGGTGTGTGGGGATATAATAGGCAAAACAGACATGTTTTTGCCTCCTAGAACTTTAAAAGAATGTTCAGGCCACAGCAAAATATATTAAAACTGCAATATGACAACCATCATCATTTATATTCTTGTGTTAAGGAAAGCCAGAAAAGGAAAGGGGTTGGGTAACATTTTAAGCCTTTTTTATGCTTTAAGTTTAGTTTTTAGTAGTACTTCCTAGGGGTACCTGGGTAGCTCATTCATTGTCTACCTTTGCTTCAGGTCATGATCCCAGGGTCCTGGGATCGAGCCCTGTGTTGGGCTCCCTGCACAAGACATCTGCTTCTCCCTCTCCCACTCCCCCTGCTTGTGTTCCCTCTCTCCCTGCCTCTCTGTCAAATAATAAAATCTTAAAAAAAAAAAAATAGTCCTTACTAGTGTTCTCCATGTTTCTCTAAGGTTAGACTTTGTACAATTTCTCTTTAGTGATAGGGATCATTGAAAAGATGCAGAGTTTAATTGCAGAGGCAACAAAGAAATGGAAGGTGGATTTCCTTCCCTTACTATGAAGGACATGGACATGATGATTGCCTTTAATTTATTATGCAGATATCAGGCAACAAATCAGCTTAATGTCCCACATTTTCCTATTAATATATTCAGTGTAAACGAAGGGTCTTTTCTGGAAACAAAGTTTAAAACTATTACTGCTTTGCAACATGTGATGTAGAACTCCATGAGTTGTTTTACATGTATTGAACTGAACCTTGGGTGACAGTATGAATTGGTTTAGTCAGTTGCTCTTACTGCTGTAGCAGAGAACTAAGCACAGGCAGTCTGGTCCTGAGAAACTTGAACTTTGGGATGGGAGAGGATTGTGGTTTTGGTTCCAGAATATATTAACTCAGGATTCTCCCCTCCTCTATTATATATTCTAGTAATTTATTGTTTAGTGATTTCCCATAGAAAATCTCAACCTTTTTTTTGTCCTAACTGATGAATGTCTTAACAACTGAAACAAAACCTGAGAATTTATGGTGTTCTGAGACCTAATAGTTGTGTCCTCTGGGTTGCTTGTGTTCTTGGCTAGATAATGGCCTATTCCCAAGAAGCTTTCCTGCTTGGGTCCATTATGGTCTCAAAAGTGAGTGACATAACAATAGCAGAAGGAAGTGATTAAAGGTTAAGTGGATATGGGGCATTTTAGCCCAAGTAGTAAATAAACTGGTTATACTTTATCAAACAAGCATTTTTCTCTTTTCTATGTGCTATTACGTTCTAGAGCATCCTCATAAACCTCAAAATGAACTGAACACAAGCCAAAGTTGACTCTTAACCACACCCCCTGCCCCCAA